GCACGATGGTGGTACTGGTTATGCGACAGCTGAAGATAGTTTGGTAGTCGCCTCAAAATTTACTGCAGCTAGAGAGGTTTTCTTCTTAATTGGGAAACTGGGCAGAGAGTTAGGGGAATAGAGTTACAGTTGGGTCTTTTAATGTTGACATTTTTGTAGCCGGAAGTTTGGTCGATGGTAGCCTAAAATTCTGAGAGTTATAGAGGTTTTCTTCGTAACAAGGGCAATAGGTGGAGAGTTGGGGGGGTTTGGTTTTCAGTTGGGTCTTTTAATTTAACACTAGTGGGGCAAACGTGCGTTACATTTTAATTGGATAATGTTAAAAATAAGTGTGTAACAAAATAAAGAATAAGCTCGACATACAAATTATAGCTACAAACTCGACATACAAATAGAAACCAATTTGAGGATTCTTATCAGATGCAATCCATTCACATGGTTTATGTTTAAAAATATATATAGTATCTTGATTCAACTTTGAGAATAGGAAAAATTGTATTTGACATGCAACATTAATCTAATCTGACAAAATTGTTCACTAATTCAAAAAGGAAAATAACATTAACTATCAGCTCACCAGTGAATATGTATTTGAGAAGAGGAAAATTTGTATTTAAGAAACTTTTGCAGATTGAGTAAAACACCAAAATAGATGAATATTAGCTCAAAGGATGAGATTAACTATAATTAGTACAATAACATTAAGAGATTGTTTGGGAGAGATTTTTTTGGGAAAGAATTGATTTTGAATAGTGATATGATGGGAAATGTGTGGTTGAAAAAGAAGAATAAATTATTGATGTGATTGAAAATATTATTTTATTGAAAAATGTGTGGTTGAAAATGAGAATTGATTTACTGTAGAAAAATCTAATCCCTCCCAAACAGGGCCTAAAGCACACATGGGCAACTCCGTCGTGGGGGTTCGGGGGCAAAGCCCCCGGGGGTGATCGACCGAAGTTGTGTTTTTTAATGGGGTTAGAAAATGTGATAAGATACTCTATCAGTTTTATATATTGAATTATAGGGAAAAAAAAATTTATATACATTTTATTACAATATAGTTTTCGCAACAACTTAAAATTGTAATATAATCCAATTAAAAAAAAAAGAGAAAAAAAAGTCTACACACCCTCTTCAATTGATCCATCTTATTTCCTCTCTCTCTCCACAACCTAATTGTTTTGGGATAATTTTAGAAAATGTAT